CTACAGCAGGAAGTGGGGGAATAGTGTAGATGAATGCAGCTTTCAAGATGATTCTCCCCAGCAGATGAAATATCCCCCAAACATGAGCCTAGACTTCATGAAGGGTGTAACAGGACTGAAGTTTATTGATAACACACTGGCTTTTATGAGAAATCGCCCTGCAAGAGGACCTCCCACAGCAAACAAAGACAACAACCAATCAACATACAGATTTACAGTAACTCCCGCCCTCTCTCTGCCTGGGAGATATTGAGATAAGTTAAGGAATAAACCAATTATCTCCAGGCAGAGGGCACACAATTCCCTCAAAATGTAGAACACCCCTTTCCACACAAGGTATCCCCACAAATTACATATTATTATTATTATTATTTTATTATTTATATAGCGCCAACAAATTCCATAGCGCTGTACAATCCCCTGATAGCCCCGATCTGGGGGAACCAACATATCCAAATTTCACCCAGATCGGTTCAGGGGTTCTTAAAAAGCATGGAAGTCATATTTTTTTTTTAAGTTAATGAGCCAGGAGGGTGGTCGGTGTTCGGTAGTTTCAAAATACCGAACCAATAGAGTCAATATGCATGAAATACTGTACAAAAAGCTAGAACAAAAGTCTATTTTATTCACAGATTGTACGCTCATTTGAGCAGGGCTTTCTTTACATCTTGACTCTGTTATTATTCTGTATTACTTGTCCAATATCCCTGTTCTATCAGTTATTCACTATAGGGAGAATTCCAAGTAAATGCAAGGTGAATTTTCAATTTAAGGTCAAAATAGCCTGCATGGAGCATTCTCCAACTCAACAATGCTTCCAATTCAATTACGTCTACCTTAACCCCTTAAGGACACATGACATATGTGACATGTCATGATTCCCTTTTATTCCAGAAGTTTGGTCCTTAAGGGGTTAAACATGAAATTCCCTTTGGATTCACTTGGAATTCTCACTCTAGTGAATAACCCTGTCTAAAGAATATGTTGCACTATGAAAATGATGATAATAGTAACAATGATAATTAGACCTGGGCACAGACAGAAAAAGAAAAAACGTTAAAACTCCATCATAAAACATATAAAAACTTCAGTCGGACTCTGATTGGTTGGATTTTTCGATTCTGTCTTTTTTGTATTTTAATAGTTGCAACTTGACTTTAATGTTTTTTATTTGGCCTTTTTTGGGGGTTGGGGGCAGAGCTCCCCACAAAGCATCTATTGAAAAATAATCTAATTAAAAGGATGGAGCTGGTAGGTTTCTTATTGTATTTCAATGAATGTTGAATGGATGATGTGCATGGACACATTTTTGTTCATGTTAACGGTCATTTGGGCCATATTGAAATTCGTTAATTTGTGTTTCGTACAAATGAACGAATGCACAAAATTCAGAGGAATTTGCATTTGTTTGAAAATGAATACACAATTCTAATAAGTGCACCTATATGTATTATATATTGCTTTTAAAGGACAGAAACAGCTTTTACATCTGATGCTTTCAGAGGGGGAGCGCTCACCTTAACAGACACACACACTGACAGACAAACACACACTTACAGAAATAAACACACTCACAGACATACACACTCAACAGACACACAATCAATGACAGACACACTCACTGACACACAGACACACAAACTGACACACTCACACACATACACACTCATTGATTTGTCACACTGACAGACACACACTCACTGACAGACATACACATACTCTCTGACAAACACACACGCACACACTCAGACAGAAAGACAGACACACACACTCACTGACTGACATACTCACACACTCATAAATGATGTTTATGTCCACCCAGCCTTTCTTCCTTTCAGGAGAGCTGGAGTAGATCCCTTCCCTGGGTTCTAGTGTGGCTGCTGAAATATTCCTGCTCTTCTCACTCTGCTCCATTGCCCACTGTTTAGTGATGCTGGGACTGGAGTGATGTCATATCTCATTAGCATTGGTACAGAGCAATGTGCAGCCAATTATAAGAGCACCAGAGCAAGCACCTGCCACATGACACCTCCACCAGAAATGTGCTGGTAGACAGGGGCCTGCTCTGGCGAGAGATAAGTGTTATGTGCATACCTTAAGCCTGTCCACCATGCCCCCTTTAGCACATTTATGCCATGGTGCTATGAGACGAGGATGGCCTCTGAATAGAAAGGTTAATGGCATTCTTCTACTTCTGGGCAGATGGGTCTGCTGTCCAAATAGAAACTGAATGGGAGGTCCCTAAAATTCCTTCTTAAAGGAGACTAGGCATATACAAAAATAATCTTTCAACCACTAATCAGGGACATTGGATCTTACTTGGCACACACTTAGGCAATGCCTGGAAAATATTACCTGACGTTTATTAATATTTTCCTTCCCCCTTGAAAACAATCTTAGTTGTCTTCTATTAATGCAAATATTTGTTTTACACACACAAACCGGTGGGTTGCTGTATCAACTGTCTCTCTTAACAAGTCTCCACTGCTCAAATGATCTTAGATAAAATAATTAAACCCACTGCCATGAATCTTCTTGAGCATCTGAATGGCATTATATGTCTAATAAAAAAAACTATATATGTTTCCTTTGTTTTCTTTGCTGCAAGATAATAGTAATATTATACAATTGTATATTCTAAATATGTAGGTTCCGTAAATAGCTGAGTAAAAACAGTTATTGATAGAGCAAAAAAAATGTAGTGCTGAACTAAAGCAATGACGTGAATGACTGCATCATGAGTTAGTGTGTTAGTGATCTGAAAACAAAATTCAGAACAGCATCTTATCTTATTAAACTGGAGGTAGTTTGAGGTATTCTAGAGGACACAAAGAAAACAAGTTAAGATTTGTTTGATTTAAATTACTCACCTCATTAAAATGTCAGACTTATTTCAGTGTAATACATTTGTTTCATGTTCCACATTTTGGAGATTTGGATGCTGTCTAATCTGTAGACAGTTCTCTATCTTGCGGCAGGAGATTGTATTTTTGAAGTCTGAGATTTGTAAATTATCTGGTGAACAAACTCAGACTGGAACTGTTGCAAAGCCATTGCCGCAGAGACGTCGTATGAATGGCAGATGGATTACTGTAGGATCTGGTAGACTTAGAATTGTGGATAAAAGGCATGTTGCACAGTCTGTTGCTCTACATAATTCATTTTCAGAACTTTCAGAGTGTAATAGTGTTATGGAGAAGGCTCAAGCACCAAGTGTAGTGGTGTTAAGGAGACAAGCTCAGGTGCTGAGTGTAGTGGTGTTGTGGAGACAGGCTCAGGCAGTTAGTTATATTTTTCCACATGCTTATACATACATATTTTATTTAATTTATTTTTAACAGAAGGAAAGATAAGTTGTCAACGGACATGTGTATACATTTTTGCATCTATATACCATATTATAATTTTTATTAATATATATTTATGTTGTGCCATCCAGAGAGTTTTTTTAACTGTTCTCCCCCTCCCCCCCCGTTCATTTATCCACCCATATATTCTCGGAGCAATTGAAATTGTGTAATAAAACGGACGATCACAATTCACTTCCGGGTTCTTGGAATGCAAGATGGAACGCATGTGGCGCACGCAATGACGACACTGTGTTTTAAACACGCAGAAAATGCCGCCCAGGCAGAAACAGAACACCAGCCGGGAATTACTTAATAATTAACTTTATGGGGGATATAAAAGAACTGTGGGAGGGAAAAGTTTTTTATCATTGCTGCTATTGTCTTACCAAGTCCCTGAGGAAGTCCAATTGCAGGACGAAACGTGTAGGACGCCCCAATGGTGACATGCAAATTGTTTTATACTTATATGTAAGTTATTAAAATCTTTTTTATTATACTCTGGAAGTGCACTCCATCTCTTTTTGTATATATATTTTTCTCTTGAGCTACATATGCCAATCTACTGATGGGAGTGTGAGGATGAGAAAATACAGTGGATACTGAAGGAAAAGATCCTACTCAAGGCTGTTTTTACATCTGAGAATTTGTGAGTGACCAATTGTGATTGCACATTGTCACTAACTCCCACACAGTTAAACGCTATGTTTTTTCATTTTATTTGTATTTAGCAGATTATCCCCTATTCTATTTCTATTTCTCTATTATAGATGGAATATTTAATATATATATATATATATATATATATATATATATATATATATAATCCAGGAAAATGAGAGCACTCACTGGGTTTAGAAAAAGTATATATTAAATATTAGACAAAATACATCAACGTTTCGACCGTCAAGCGGTCTTTATCAAGATGTCCAAACAATGTAAAAACAGACAATATATAGCATGTCTACAGATAAACTTACCCTATCACCGTGTGAACCCCATTACTCCGACATGCCCCTGTGACAGACGCCGAAAATTGCGTCCTAGCGTGCGTGATGACGTCATGTCATGTGATCGCAAAACTAACAGTTGCCTAGTAACAGCAATACAATGTGTAATCATGTGATCGCAACTGATCTCAGTTGCTACAAAACTGTTCCGTGCGTGTGAAATATAAGACAGGAGAAATAGCAGAAATAGCAACATACATGGAGGAAGATAATATTGTTACATGCTGAGTACGATGTTGTAATATATTTAACAGAACATGTTGGAGGTATAAAGATAGAAAAATGATCAGAAAATAACTAAATAATGTGAAAAAATAAATCTACATCTAAATCTGAATCTAAGTGTGTATGGAGCTCGGCTGAGTGTAAGTGTAAAAGAATGAAAAGTGTAGAAGTGATGTAGTATGAGATGTGTGATGCTACTGATAACTAAAGTGAAGCTATAATGAGACTGTGTGAATCTGAAAATATATGGATCAAATGTGTAATCAGAACCTGTCAAATAAGTGCAAACAACCGAAAGAAATGAAAATAAATCTCTAAACAACACAAAAAGAAATGAGTATGACGTGACAAAATAAACTACCGTGAAAAAATGACCAGAAATACCTCCAAAAGAACTGCACCACTATGGCAAACCATCACCACACTGATATCTAACCTAATATATGATAACAATATTTTTGCAATATTTTATAATATATTGTTATCATATATTAGGTTAGATATCAGTGTGGTGATGGTTTGCCATAGTGGTGCAGTTCTTTTGGAGGTATTTCTGGTCATTTTTTCACGGTAGTTTATTTTGTCACGTCATACTCATCTCTTTTTGTGTTGTTTAGAGATTTATTTTCATTTCTTTCGGTTGTTTGCACTTATTTGACAGGTTCTGATTACACATTTGATCCATATATTTTCAGATTCACACAGTCTCATTATAGCTTCACTTTAGTTATCAGTAGCATCACACATCTCATATTACATCACTTCTACACTTTTCATTCTTTTACACTTACACTCAGCCGAGCTCCATACACACTTAGATTCAGATTTAGATGTAGATTTATTTTTTCACATTATTTAGTTATTTTCTGATCATTTTTTTATCTTTATACCTCCAACATGTTCTGTTAAATATATTACAACATCGTACTCAGCATGTAACAATATTATCTTCCTCCATGTATGTTGCTATTTCTGCTATTTCTCCTGTCTTATATTTCACACGCACGGAACAGTTTTGTAGCAACTGAGATCAGTTGCGATCACATGATTACACATTGTATTGCCGTTACTAGGCAACTGTTAGTTTTGCGATCACATGACATGACGTCATCACGCACGCTAGGACGCAATTTTCGGCGTCTGTCACAGGGACATGTCGGAGTAATGGGGTTCACACGGTGATAGGGTAAGTTTATCTGTAGACATGCTATATATTGTCTGTTTTTACATTGTTTGGACATCTTGATAAAGACCGCTTGACGGTCGAAACGTTGATGTATTTTGTCTAATATTTAATATATACTTTTTCTAAACCCAGTGAGTGCTCTCATTTTCCTGGATTATATATTTTGCACTGAGAAAGCACCTTGGTCCTAATTTTGTTTTTGAGATTTTGTTGGGGAAGAGTGCCAGAATTTGTAAATTTTTGTATATATATATATATATATATATATATATATGTATATATATATATATATATATATCTTTCTTACTGGGACTCTCTGCAATGCTAAGTTATATAGGGCCCTGGAATGAGGCACCTGGGAGGAAGTGTACTTCACTGCTCTCAGAGAGCAGGGCAGTGGAACAAAACAAAAGGCAGTAACAAAGCAACAGCGGCTGGCAAGAGGAATCAGTATGAGGTGGTGGGCTGTGTTTTAAAATGCTGTTTATGGGGTCTGAATAGAGGGTACTGGCGGTGGACTCAGATTGCAAGGAGTAGATACTTGTGGTGGGCAACCACCACCAAGTATCATGCCCACTGCTTATTTGTGTGTTTTCCCATTGTATTGTGTATATCTGTATGGATTTCATGTATTTTGTCTGTTTCCCATTCGGAAGAGCTCATACGAATGGAACCCAGTGGGGACCACCCTGATTTCCAATTTAGAAGGCTCTTTAGAAAGTTCGGAAACCACAAGGGAAATCATTAATGAGTGAACCCCCTGATGGCCGCCGGTTCATATAGCTGAAAACGAACAAGGGGAGGCATTCTGCCCGCACTGTCTCAGGTCCCCGTGTCAGGGATCACCATATCTGCTCCTAACAGAGCTGTAATCACTACTCCCCTACCAAGGAGGTGCGAGGCCAGGCTCAGAGCAGCCCAAGGAGCGCTCTTTCTGGTGCTACCTAAGCTACACAGCCACAGGGTTCCCGCTGGCTGCCTGGAATTCCATGCCAACTAATGGGAGAAGGCGCCCATTCAAACTGCGTTTGCACCATTCTCCTGATTGGTCAGCATGAGTGAGCGCTGATTGGTCTTTGAGGGGTGCAGGCGACCAATAAGAGAAGGAGCACCCTTTCAAATGGGGTTTCGCGCCCTTTCTCCTGATTGGGCGGCAAAACCTCTCTCCTCCCCGAGCACCAATTGGTGCAACCGAGTTTTGCACCCTTCCTTCTGATTGGACAGAAAACCTTTTCTCCCTGAGCGCTGATTTAGGCGCAAAGTTTGAATTCACCGGACTAAACCAAGCAACTCTATGGAACTAATTTCAGGGATGTACAAAGCCCCGAGACCCAGACTTTAGATGATGATTTCTTGGGCTCTGTACATACAATAGCCCCGCTATTTGCAGGGATTCAAGATGGGACCTGGGGCTATCCATTTTATGTGTGTACCCCATTCCCTTATCAGGGCGTGGAGCCCCTAAGTGTTTCCCCATATATGTATTGTGTTTTACGGTTTGTAATAGGTTTTAATGTATGCAACTGTGTCATGTTGGTATCTCCCAGAGCGGGAGATGGTTATCTGTAACCCATCTTCCTTCTCCTGCCTGGGACAAAGGAAAGTGTACTGAAAGTGGAAGACCCCCGCTGTGTTTTTAAAGCTGTGTGTACTAATTAAGGATTGTCAATGTTTTAACCTCCAGAGCTGTGTGGTGTCCAGTTACTGGAGGGAGAATGTATTCCAGCTTGTTGTAAGGGTTCCTGAATGGCTGAAGGAAGGGAATTAGTGGAGGAAACCGGTTGGGTTACCAGGGGATCCACTACAAGACTAGCATCTAATTCCTCACATTGACCAACATACTGCACCCATTAACAGAAATGTGACTGTGCAATAGTGTGTGTGACTATCTGTATGTGTAACAGTGTGTTTATATGTGTAACAGTGTGCATGCATATATATATATATGTGTATATATATATATATATATATATATATATATAAAACCAGGGGGCTGTACTGACCTGAACATGGGGTGCTGCTGGGGGCCAGTTTATACAATACACAAGATCCAGCGCACTTATCCACTAAACAGCAACTTCAATGTTGACAGATTGTTGTAACGAATCGCCTGGCACCCCGACTGGGTTGCAGGATGCTCCTAGCGTTTCCTGAGGACTCCAAGAACTCTGGCAGACACCACAATCACCGAACCGGAGTAGCGTCTACCTTCTCTCAAGCATATGAATGCTATAAACAGCTGAATAGGCAAAAACCATACGGATGGGTTTAGGCTCCTAGCAGTCAAACTGGAACAGCATACAATAAATCCTTCCGCAATAATGAGACGACACTTCACTTTGAGGGTTAAGCAGGAACTCTTGTGCTGGCACACACAGCCTGGTTTTTATTACAGTCTTTCACATACAGGACCGCCCACAGGGAGGTATAAAACAACCAATCACATATCAGTTACATCCCACATATTCCCTCCCCTTATCCTGAGAGGAAACTCAATTACACATACAATTAAAACATACTTTCTACCCAACTTTCATAACTTTAAAACCATACATCACATTCACATAAAATTACATATTCACAATCAATCCATTCAGGGGAACAACATATTAAAAAAATGGCATGAATCCGACCAGGGGTTCAAAAGTTAATAAAAGTATCTTTTGGGCCCAGTTGGAATAAGGAAAGACCTACACAATAAATGGTTGAGTTGAACATTATACCGATCCATTAAATGGGGTTGAGTTAATAACATTAAATGAAAAGAACTTGGGAATAATTATATTCAGCACCGGTTTTGCATATTTGTGCTGTTGTGAGGGATTCTATTCAGGGGGTTAAATAATATTGAGACTGGAGACAGCATTATAAGTTGCAATTTCAGTGGAATTTTGGGAATCCACTTACACCTTATATTCAATGGGGGTTGAAAAATGTTGATTACAACTGTATGCAAATAGATTGTTAATTTAAGGAGAAACCTTATTGCCACTATGGAGCCATGAAATAATGGTTTTCCCTTTATGTAGCATAATTGAAAATTTAAAAAATGTTTTCTTCTTTTGGATCAACAGCATAAAAGAATAGATTTTAAATATTGAATTTGATGGACGTTAGTCTTTTTTCAACCTGGATTACTATGTAACTATACACTTTAAGTGGATATTTTATTCTACCAGGAAGAAATCATGAGACGCAACCATCCTTGATAATCTCATTATTTAATACAATTTCTAATTCCTAAGAACATGGGCCCAGACTGACCATCTGGCAATTCACAGATTAGCAAATAATTTAGCACATGTAAGTGTACTAGACCTCTACTAACAGGTCAAACAGGAGATATAAAACACAAGAAAGCTTGTGGCTGTGTAAAATAGTGTTCCAGGTTTATATAATGCACATTTTTTTGTAAATCTGTTTTTATTGAAGTTTTTGACAGTATTTATACATAACAAAAAGGTATTTTAAATGAGACACGCAGGTCTCCAGCATGGTATGAACAGGAGTACATCGTTTGTGTGATATGCGTTACCTAGAGGGTCTTGGGTGCAGTTGGGGTCATGAGGTTAAGTTATTGCCACAAAATTTTCAGCTTATAAGCATGTTAATTACATTTCCCAGTTTCCCCATCCCCTCCAACAAGTATCATAGATTACATCCCCGTTTCATACGACCTGTCTCGCATGTTTGCCCAAGCCTTGGACTTGGGGTTAGCCTCATGTATAGGTGGAGCTGCGTCGTCCCCCATTATATGCGGTCTAATTATATCTTGTCTGGTGTCGGTATGCTTAGTTGGGGATGAGGTTATCATTGTCGTGTTATGAGATGTGTGGGTGTGTGGTTGGCTTTATGTGTGGGCGGTGGTGGTGTTTCAGTGTGAGCGTTAGTGTCTTGTCCTTGCTCAATGTTTCATGTTTTCCGGCTTTGCGTGCCATGTGTCTTATGAGGTTCTGAGATGTGTTGATGGGTCCGTGGTTAAGTGGATGTGTGTCATTTCTCGTGAGTGATAAGGATGCCTGTTGAGAACGCGTCCTCTGTTTCCGTGATAGTGGTCCCTCTGTGTTCCTGATGTAGGGTTGAAGGAGGGGGGGAGGAGAAGGAAATGAAAGGGAGGGTCAGTAGGGAGAAATGGGTAGGTTCTCTATGCGGAAGTGTGGTGTAGAATTGTTTCAGTTGCATGAAAAGTGTGCTTTAAGAGGTGCCTGGGTTTGCCCGCCCGGCCGCCTCCGCCCCGTAAGTGTCAAGCGATATAAACAAACCATGGCCTCCACATTTCCACATGTTTGGTGTCCCTACCCGTTAGGGAAGCCGGGAGTGCCTCTGCGCTCTGGATGTCCTCCACCTGTTGAATCCACTCTCTTTGTTGGGATGTCAGTTTTCTTCCAGTGGGCCAGTATGGATGCTTTGGCCGCGTTCTGTAGGTGTCGGAGGATTGATTTTTTTATAGCTCAAAATCGTTTGTTGAGAGATGTGTAGTAGAGCAAGTTTTGCCGACCAGTCTGGGACATCTCCCAGCACCAAGGTCACTTCGGTTTTCACCATGGCCTAGTATGAGCGTATGTCACGGCATTCCCACCATATATGTAGCATTGAGCCTCTCTCTTGACATCTCCAGCACGTCGGTGGCGTAGTCAGAAATATCCTGTGTATTATGGTCGGTGTTCTATACCAGCGGGCTATGAGTTTGTAGTTTACCTCCTGATAGTAGGAGCTCGTGGAACTTTTATGTTGCCACACTAGGGCCTTATCCCACTGTGGCGCTGTCAGTGTCTTACCTAGGGATTCCTCCCATTGTCTCTGGAAGGTATGATTGTTTGGTTGGTCGTCTGTTAATAGCTGTTGATACATTGCGGAAACGGCATGATCCGTCGTGGTGCCTTGGGCACACATTCCCTCAAACCACTTCAATTACCTGTGCACACGTTCTCTATGCGGAAGTGTGGTGTAGAATTGTTTCAGTTGCATATATCGGAGGGTGATCATGGCAGTCCGCGGTCTACCCTCCAGGAGCGAGTCTAGGTCTTGTAGTTCACCTGCTCGCCAGGCTCAGCTTATGGGGATGTAGTCCCCATTGTCCAGAATTCTCCACGCTCTGGCTGACAGGCCACCTCCTATTTTGCTGTTATATGTCACTGGGAGCAACGGACTAGGTGTAGGTGAAATGTGTGGCTTTTTTCTCAACTATTTCCATTCTCGTAGCGTCTGCGCTACCGGCCCCTCGTCCCTTCCCGGTTCTTGAGTTCTCAGATCTCCTCCCCAGATCATCGGTTCCATTGTCCCCTTGTTAGCTTTCCTGTCCAGCGTTACCCATTGTTTCTGTGGGGGGGTCAAAATGCCAGTCCAGGATGCGCTGCAGTACCATGGCCTGGTGTTTTTTTTTTGTTTTGGTTTTTTAAAATTCTTTATTTTTGTTGTGCATATTTGTAGTACGGGCAGGCAAGAGGTGCTCCGAGAGCAGTCCTCCAGCATTTCCCACGCTCAACATGCGGGGCACAAGATGAACAAGCACATTTTATATTAATGACAAGTATAAACAATCGATTGTAGAAGTAGCTATAGGGTAAATTTAGGCTGGGTCAATGCGTTGACTAAACTTTAAATGCTCTAAATAATGCTGGTGCAACATATATATTATGAAAGTAAACTAAAGCTTTATGATTAAATAATAATCGTGCATTGGTTAGCAACAGGCTACAGTTAGGTAAATCGCTTTAATGCTATTATCACCCCGGCCGACCGGGACCACTCATGCTGCCTCTGCGGGGAGCCATCTTCTTGGTGGTCCAGAGACCTCACACTCAGTGGGAGTCCCACTATCATTCGATACCTGCTCTGCCCTATCTGTGTAACATGGAGCGAGTGTCCACCAGAGCAGGCATCAGGCCACAGTCCACTCATGCTGCACTGTAAGGTTCTCGCTGGTTCCTCTGAGTCTGCAGCTGTGCTTCAGTATGCTTGTCCCTCTTGGTTCTCTGAGGGTCGGCGTCAGCCGTGAAGGGGAGCTTGGTGTAGCCTGGTGGTATTTTCTAAAGTCCGGCAGCGCCAGTCCTCCCCTGACCCTAGGTAGACACAGTATGTCATGCCGTAGACTGGATCGTTCACCTCACCACGTAAAGCGTATGACCGCAGATTTCAGAGAGGAGAAGAAGACCGCCGGCGGTGTTAGGGGTATTGTCTGCAGGAGGTATAGAACTCTGGGAAGCACGTTCATTTTGAGCACTGCTATGCACCCGTGCCATGTTATGTGGGGGTATCCCCACTTGGAGAGGTCCGCCACGATCGTGTGCAGCAGGGGTTGAAAGTTGTGCTCCTATAGCTTTCCGGGGTCTGTGGTTACCCATATGCCCAGGTATTTCATTTTGTGTTGGCACCATCTAAACTCAAACTGTGATTCTAGCGATATGTATTCGGCTGTGGGTATTGTAAGATTTAGCACCTTGCATTTTGATATGTTGAGCTTGAATCCCGAGATTTCGCCATAAAGTTTGAACTCCGCTAGAAGGTTTGGTAAGGTTATTCGGGGTTGCTTGATAAAGAAAAGCAAATCATCCGCGTTTGCCGCGACTTTATGGGTCGCTCCCCGTCCTTTATGTCCCTGTTTGTTCGGGTTCAGGGGAATCACAGGCAGGAGTGGTTCCAAGGACATAGCGAATAATAGAGGGGAGAGGGGGCACCCTTGTCTGGTTCCATTGCTAAATGTAAAGTCCGCAGTTCGGGCTCCGTTGACCTGCACGGAGGCTCTTGGTTTGCTGTATATGGCTATAATGCACATTTTATGTTCTTCTGATTAACGTGCATTTTTAGTAAAGCCACCAGAGGGCTCAGCTTGAGAATTTTGAATAACACCACCAATTTAATTTTAATCATATTCAAAAAGTCAAAGTCGTTTTCACTGCAGCGCTCCGCTCAGGAGAGCTTCGTAACTGCTGGCTCTCTGGTGTTAGTAGTAGAGTCTGGTTAGCAGCTGTTGAGAACCCAAAGTAAGAAGAATAATCATTTAAACAGTTTGACCACTTACAATGGGCGGGGGAGGGAGGGAAGCCAGGGCTCCTGGCACTGTAACCATTACAGCAAGCTGTTGTGGTTATGGTGCATCGAATATTCCTTTAATTGAACACCTCTGCACGCACACATAGAAGGACATCACATATATAATTAGGCCAGGTCAGTAAAATAAAGTATCCATTAGGACAGTGGTGCATTGGATAAGCTCTCTAGAATGTGGAATCCATATTAAAGGAACAGAATATTTTAAGAAAATTATTGTAAACTTCATGTAAAAGCTGCAAATTACTCACCAGCTGCCACCACTCTTGCATCTTCGTGAGCAAAATGTCTTCCAGCAGCTCGATTGTCCGGACTCTCATTCCACCACAGAACGTGAACTTTAATTACAAATGTATAGAAAATATTTAAAGGAATCATCCACCAACACAGTTACATAGAAATCGTTAATACAGCTATAGTTACACAGATATAAGGAAAACCAGCCTAATAAAAGTTCTGTTGCACAGACAGCATTTTGTAAGCAGTGCTGATAGTGTGATAATTATACAAAAAAATTATCAATTTGCCTGGTCAACAGAGACCTTGGTTTTAGAATCATATATTGCTCTTCAAGCTTATAATTGTCAAGAAACTAGATAATAATGTTATGCTAAACATACTGCTTATCTATACAAACCTGTTTTACCAAAATTCTACATCATTTGTTATACCTTTTGCATTACTAACAAGTAATGCTGCAGGACGGTGTGGTTAAATGGCGTTCTAGGTGTAATCCAGGCAAGCATAACAATAATGTCAGTTCAGAAGTGACTCTAGGAACAATATATTGGGAGGGCGCATAAGATACCACAGTCAAAACTGGGAAGGGGACACTAATCATTTCCACTGTGGGTGGCGTAACGTGCCGCTATTGGCTGTCTCGGGCCAGCATTCTGTACAAGCTGGAGTCAGACAACAAATTTGAACAGAATTCACATTAGCCTCCTGGAATTCTTGTTCTGGGCTGGCTAACACCTCGTCTTGATTTCGATCTTCAAACTGTTTAGCAGATAACTCCCCTATTTGCTATTTTGTCATATTTATTGACACCACCCTAATTTGATGTCCTTAACCCCTTAAGGACCAAACTTCTGGAATAAAAGGGAATCATGACATGTCACACAAGTCATGTGTCCTTAAGGGTTTAAATGGACACTGTACGCACCCAGACCACTTCAGATAATTTAAGTGGTCTCGGTGCTGTGACCCTTTTGCACTTCGTGCTGCAATGTAAAACATTGCAGTTCCAGAGTACTGCAATGTTTACATTGCAACTCCAAATCTGCCCTCTGTGGCTGTCTGACAGCCACTAGAGGGCTTCCGGAATCTAAACAGACTTCCGGTCCGTTATCTAACGCTGGACATCTTCTTGGACCTCCAGCGTCAGATTTTCCCCACAGGAAATCATTTAATAATGCTTTTCTACAGGGAGGTCTAATGGCATGCGCGTTAGGTCTCCCCCGCCGGATGACATGGGCGAGGAGGCGGGTGGGTGGAGCCTGACCCAGTGCTGGATTCAGGTAAGTTGCTGAAGGGGACCTATTAACCCTATAGTGCCAGAAAAAACGTGTTTTCCTGGAACTATAGGATCCCTTTAACTATGGAAATCCCACAATCCAATTTAAGGAATTATCTACTAAACAGCTGAAAGATCAACATTAAGAAAAACCCTTTAATTTTTATACTTCAATTGTATAGTAGATAACTCCTTTATTTGCTATCCTTATGTGAGATCGCCATATTGAAGGATACCAAATAAGGGAGCCATCTGCTAAACAGCACCATAATTTGCTATCTTTAAATATGGAAATCCCACATAAAGATAACAAGAGCGTCATCTACTACAACTGGAATATCAAAACTAAAAAAAAGTATTCTCTTAATTTAGATCTTTCAGTTGTTTAGTAGATAACTCATATTTGTTATCCTTATGTGGGATTGCTATATTCAAGGATATAAAATGAAGGAGCTATCTACTAAACACATGCGCACACACAGACATGCACACATAACCACAGACATACAAAAACAACCAGTACCTTTCATCCATCCCAATGACACCACATCAACCACTACTGGCATTGTACGGTAAAACTCTGACCATCAGTAAGTTCATGCTCTACGTAAGAACATTGTTAGTATGCTTGGGGCTAAACCCGGCCAAATATTCTGGTCATTCCTTTCGCATAGGAGCCGCTACTACCGCTTCAAAAAAGAATATCCCCGCACACATCATTAAGATCATGGGTCGCTGGAAGTCCACAGCTTATACACGATACATCCCCCAGCCAGTTCAGGAAGTACGCCTAGCCTTCAAGAATATGATTGTGTGATAATCTTATACTGTATTGTAGGCTGAATAAACTGGTTACATCTTTTTGCCCTCTTTTATTTCAGGCCTACTACGTCGTCAGTTACGGCACACCACAACTGACTTTTCATGTCCTAATTGTTTTTATTAACTCTACGGCTTTATGCCTTGACCACAAATGGAAGGCAGGGCCTGAAGTTGTGGGAGGGGCTTGGTTCCCCTTCTTAAGGAGCTCCAGCCCTTCACCTGCTACCGGCTCAGGTCTTGAGATTTGCCCCACCCACCACTCCTCCTTTTAACCATTTCTTGAGGTAGGCCCTCTTTTATTTCAGGCCTACTACGTCGTCAGTTACGGCACACCACAACTGACTTTTCATG